GAAATGTTGATATAGACAGTTAGATGTAGATTATCTACTCTTATTTTTTCTCTGCGATTAGGTTAAAGCACAGCTTTTTCGTCACCTCCCGAAAACAGCTATATGATGAACGATTCTTCTCAGTGTGGACAAACATTTCTGAACTAATATTCCTAGTGACGGAAGTTCGGTATTACAACCGATGACTTCGTTACGATATGATGGGACTGCAGTAACATCAAGGATTGTACATTTGACTGATTATGAAATTAAATGTGCAACTCAGGTTAGTCAAAGCGAATTGTAGCCTTCTGAGGTGCTTGCATCAGGCAGTATGCTCGTACATATCATCCATTCTCTTATGGCCGAACCAGAACCATGTGTTGGTCGCACCGAAGCAATGTAGAGTAAATTCATTGCTCAAATAAATTTGCTGTTATGACAAATTTCGAATATTCTGTCGATTCGAATCCAGCACCTCCGGAGTTCGAAACCGACTTCCTTTCCGCTGTGCCACCGTCCTCCCCTACGATCGAACAATGGGTACGATCTTGTCGATGACATTAGCTGACCCGCTCAACAATTCACATAAAGACTAGGTTTGCTTTCTTCCTGCGGATGTTATCATTTTAAGCTTTGCAGTGATGAATAGTAGCATAGTATAAACCCATACACTTGTTAACAGCTTATAAGCGAGCGGGAGTTGGTAACTTTGAGGGCACTCACAGAACAGTCTGGTTTGGATGGTTGGAATAATATATTTTCTCCTGATCGCTTGAGCACAATATTAAGCTAAATTTGTTTGTGTCTCAAATCCACAGTTCTATGTTTTCAGTACGCGTTTCACACTACGCAGATATTTGCATGTGCAGCCCTCTGTTGTCTCTGGGAATATAGCCAGTAGCAAAAATTGACATGAATGAAAATAAGCATGGTTCAGATATAGAACATGAACACGTTTCCACACGTTCTCCATTGTTTAATTCATGTGACTGATCACTCATATGGTGATTGGCAGACGTATGAGAAGGCGTACTGAAGTATAGTAATGACCATTTATCCGTGACGTAAAATAGAGTGTGAGTGTTTACCGATGTAACGTTGCAAGTTTAGTGTGTATTTCTGGGCA